GTTCCATCTGTTCCAAGTGCTTCCCGCTGTCCTTGACTTTGAAGGATAAAAGACTTTAAAGTTTAAACTGCAGGGAACAGTAATTATGGATCAAAGAGACTTCACACAAAAAACGATAGAACTGCCAGAGCTGAAAACTTTAGAATTGGATATCATTAATTCTGATCTCTTAATCTGGATATCCACTGTGGAAACTTTTATTTTCAATCCTCTCTCGTTGGATATCATATGTCCTTCTACATAAAATAAAGATAAGTTTGATTACAAGTTCAGAAACGAAACTATTTCGATTGAACTAATCCCCAATTGAACTAAAGTCGGCTTTTAGAGCATTTTCACAAATATAAATTAAATCATGTTAATATGAACTTATTAGAAAACATATTTTATCACGTTTGAGGATTATATATATAGTCAAAAACTTGCGATCATTAATCTAATTGATATGACGCCGCAAATGTGGAAAATAAAAACCGGTTTTCAAAAGTTAAAGAGCGCATCTCTAATCTGTAGAAATTAATCTAAAGACTAAATTAGTCTGGAGATTAGCAAAAAGAGAGGATCAAACATTTATCTCAATATCCACCATTCTAAAGTTTTCAGCTCAGGTGTCCCAACAAGTTGACTTTGATTTCCGATTGTTAGTTTACAGCAAAAAAGTGGTAGTGCAGGGAGAACAAGAAAACTGTGGAATAGGAAGACGAAGTTAAAGCAATAATTTTCACGATTGCTTGTCTCATGTTCGTTTAACTATTTAAAGTCATAACTTAAAGGAAGTGACCGGCTATGTAAGGTAGTTTAACTGAGTATGCAGTGTTGTGGAAAACTTCTTTCGGATTCATTTGAGACATATTAAACTTTTTAAAGATCTGTAAATCCTGAGTTTGAGCGCAAATTCGACGTTCAAAACTCCTAATTTGGGGGTGGATAAATAACGACAACAAAAAAATAAAGTAAAAATTATACAGTAATCTAATTAGATGGTTAGGAAAATTATTTCCCAAAAGAAATTTGTCAATAAATCAAAATCGATTATTTCTTTTTGATTATTTTATTGAATTTCTTATTTTCTTTGAATTTATTCGCAGATTTCTTCAAATTATTCAAATGTCGTCTTTTCAATAACAATTCTAGAAAATCTGCGAAAATCTTTGTGAATAATGAGAAACCAGAATAATGAGAAAATAGAAACTGATAATTGAATAAGATTACTTATTTTCGATGATAAGATTATTTTAATTTTCTCAACATGTTCCTATACATGACGTCTGTAGTTTATTGTAGAGCTTTTTTACATTTAATTTCGTCTTTATATAATAATTTAAAAAAACTAAATTTGTAAACGTATCCATCCCAAAAGTAGGAGTTTTGAACGTCGAATTTGCGCTCAAACTCACGATTTACAGATCTTTAAAAAGTTTTATATGTCTCAAATGAATCCGAAAGAAGCTTTCCACAACACTGCATACTTGCATTTCAACTACCTTACATAGCCGGTCACTCCCTTTAAGTCTAAAATTCGTCCTCATATTCCAGAGTTTTATAGTTCTCACTGTCCTTAACATAAACTTTTCAAATTGCGAAGTTTGTTTTTGTTTCTAAGGGACAGAATATATATTTTAACAGTGCAAAAGGACAGAATATATATTTTAACAGTACAAAAGGACAGAATATATATTTTAACAGTGCAAAAGGACAGAATATATATTTTAACAGTGCAAAAGGACAGAATATATATTTTAACAGTGCAAAAGGACAGAATATATATTTTAACAGTGAAAAATTAGTAAACCATATTTTGAAAAGTCCAACACTAGTTCTAGTTTAATTATTTTATCTGGGAAACTAATATTGTTTGAAACAAAATGCCGCGAAGGTTAAAGAAGGCATGAAAGACATTACTTGCAATACTAAACCATGTTTACACATTGTACACAAGAAATATATAGACAGAAACTGCCATATCTGATGCTTCAAATCCGTGTACTGCAGTGGGAGGAGATCAAAACAAAGAATTCAGGGGAATTCCTCATCATCAGGTGGAATAAAATTTATCTTATTCCATGTTGACTAGAGAGCCAAAAATTCACTCTAACTTGATACATTAACTTGTTTTTTGTTGGACTGCAGTATAAGAATAAGAGCTTTAGTCCTTTCCCTTCAACTTCTGTGGGGCACTGGGTTTGTTTACTTTCCTTCCAAGAGTACAGTACACCATTTGCGTACATCTGAGTTGGGCGTTCCTGTATATAGTTCCTTGACTGTACATAAAATTTACGCATCTACCGTTTAAATCAGCGTCAGCTCAAATGCTATTTCGCTATTTTTTTACATAAACAATTACATACCCCACTAGCGTAGTACATGTACTTTCCTTGTGTACTGTCAGTTTCTATCTTTTAAGTGCTTTTACATATGTGAAAGAACCTTAAAACCTGTACATAGATACAAACTGTACTATTTTTAGCCCCAACGCTGTACAAGAAAGATCCTTACATGAACAGTGTTCTAAAACGTGTACTGTACATGAGGATCTAAAAAATTGTACATAAAAGAATGTAAGAATAACCATTATATGAAGTGTCTGGCATGAGGCTGCATGAACCACTGGTTTCAAGTATCTATCTGTCTATCTATCTATCATCACTATCTATCTATCTGTGTCCGGAGTGAGGAAAGAGGGACAAACCTCCGAAATTTGAAAATATGAATAAGAAAGAAAAATATAAGAATGGAGTGTGACTTAACTGATTTACCGGAGAAAAAACAAATATCATCAAGGAGTTTTTGCCACAAACTCAAATTTTCTAATCTCTATATCTTTGCAATCTAATGGTTTAAACCTTTGATGTTTTAATCTATTTGGACTAACAGAAATTTTTTAAATAACACAGGTCTGCGACATCGGGTTGCAAAGATATAGGAATTAGAGAATCAGAGTTTGTGACAAAAACTCAATTCCTTTGGTCTAAAAAATGAAGAAAAAAATTTAGGTAAAAAAAAAGTTTCAAACGAATTTTGAGAGATCCCAAAAGAATCAAGCAAAGATTTAAATCCTTTTTAGAATCAATTTAGCTTAAACAAATGACTTACTTTTTACAATTGAAAATTAGAAGGAGACTGAACAGATTATTTAATAGTGTAGAGTCAGTCATTTTAGACGTCTTTCTGGAGACTGAAAAGGAATATGAAATATAGGATCCGAAAAGGGAAAAAGGACAAAAGGACCCATGGAACGAGGACCAAAAAATATATAAAATGCCCAGCTGAACAATCCAGTTATCTACAGTAATTCTCCATTATCAAGATTGAGGGAAATTTTCATGTTTTTAGCAAAGAGAATAGAATATATATTAATGTTGAATTTAAACAATCCCTCGGAATGAATTTTTTTCAGTCCCTTTCAGCCTGAAAGGGAGTTCAAAGTGTACAAATCATGTAAATGTTCACAAGTTATATGCAGTAGAGTACTTTAATACAGTATGTTCCCTACAAAATCAATTTAAATTTCGGATTTTTTAAAGCTGTTAAATAAACTATATAAAATTAGGTGAATAAAAAACATTATTTGATTTATAGTTATAACGGAAAAGCATCACTTGTACAGTGAACGGCATAGAGTCTATGTGAAATGTTATCTGGTCAATTATGAAACCAGCCTATTTCATAATTCTTTTAATATTAATTTTAGATTTTCTATAAAATGATGTTCCAGGGCCCAAAAGGTTATATAGCGCAAATATGTGAAGTACACCTGCAGTATGGAAACAGTACAACTAAATGGCCATTTTACACTTTTTTCTAGTAAATTCCACTCTAATATATATTCTATTCTCTTTGGTTTTTACCCATGAAAATTGAATATCTTAAATTGTTGTTCTTTTTGAAAGGTAACCTTCAGATTTCTTGTTGAGAAACAATGGATGAAAAAAATATCCTTTTTAATCTAAGAAAACAATGATTTCTTCCACATTAATTTATCAGATAAAGGTCTAAAGGGTACCGCAGTGAATCAGGCATGTCTCCCTTTAAAGTGAAAGGTCCTTTGAAATTATAACTAAAGTCCCTTAACATGGAGTGACCGGCAATGTATGGTAGTTGAACGGAGAATGTAGTTTTGTGTGAGTAGTTTTTTAGGATTCATTTTTATCATATAAAACGTTTTATTGATGTAAAATTACAAAGATTGATTGCAAAGTCAACATTCAAAATCATTCATTTGGGTGGTTTTTAAAATTTTTTTAAATTATTAAATAACGACGACAAGAAACGTCATAAAAATTCTACAGTAAACTAATTTAGTTGTTTAGGTTAAGAAAATAAAAATAACACTTATCATTGAAGATACGTGAATTTATTCAGTTATTATTTTCTGTAATCTCTCATTGTTCACAAACATTTTCTGTAGATTTTCTAGAATTTTCATTGAAAAGACGAAATCTGCGAACAAATTGGTAAAGAATAAGAAATTCAATTTAATGATGAAAACAAAATAATTTATTCTAACAATGATCTATTGACAAATTTTTATTGAGAAATATGTTCCTAAACATCTAATTAGTTTACTGTAGAATTTTTGAAACATTTTTCGTCGTCGTTATTTAATAATTTTTTTAAATCGATTCTCAAAACGTAACCACCCAAATGGATGATTTTAAACGTCGACTTTACGATCAAACTCAGTAGTTATACATCATTAAAAAGTTTTATATGTCTCAAATGAATCCAAAAAAAAATTCTCATCAATACTACAATTTCATTACATTGCCGGTCCCTGCCTTTAAGCGAAAATCAAAAGAATCATAAATGTTAAAAATATTAGAAGTTCTACACATTTAAGAAAATGTCATGATATTGCAAAGTTTCTAATAAAAAAGAAACAATAAAAGTTTATTCTGTCAAATAACGTTTTTTTAGAAAAGTGAAAAAAACTTGTTTAGAATTCCCAGCAACTCTGAAAATCTGAATATCTGACCTAGATTCTTATTAGAAAAAAACATATGCGTCAATACAGATGCGTCAACAACCTAGGTAATACAGATGCAACAGAATTTACGCAATTATTTCTTCCTTAAATGTTCTTTCTTAAACAATTTTTTCATAAAAAGATAAATAAGATTTATACTTTATTTAAATAATCAAAGATGAAACAAAAATTTCAATTATCCAAAAACAACTTTTCTTCTCTTAAATTTAAGGATGCATAAAAAGTATAAGCTCCTTAATTTTGAACTTGAATTATTCAACTAATTTGTTGCAAAATAGGTTAATAGAATCTATGTCTAGACTTTTCAGGCTATTTTGAACTATTATTTTTTAACTCATGATATAAATTATGCTGTTAATGCATTATTGCATCAGATGTCGGAACTTTTGTGTTTGCAGTCCATTCCGTAATCAATTCCGTAATCCATTCCGTAATCCGTTCCTTAATCCATTCCGTAATCCGTTCCTTAATCCATTCCTTAATCCATTCCGTAATCCGTTCCTTAATCCGTTCTGTGATATGTTTAGGAATCCGTTCCTTAATCCGTTTTGTGATATGTTTAGGAATCCGTTCCTTAATCCGTAATCCGTTTTAAAATAACTTTCGGATTCATAAGATTTTGAACTAAAGGTTCAACCAATGAAAAGCCAATGAGAAATTGCTCAAATTGACGTCAGGTGTTTTTCACGGATTAAGCACTTTATCGCTTTGGATTAATAGCTTCCGCTGTGGATATTGAGACACTAAAGTTTTAGCCTCTGTATTTTTTTAATAGAAATTATTTTCTTGCTTACTTCCGAGTCCGTTACCTTGCTGTCTGATTTAAGCTGCATCCTATTTTACACAGAGTTGAGTTCAAAAACCCGGTTTAATATTCAATTAGGTGGATTTTCATGGTAGGAATTGGCGCATTCCAGGTTTTTATGAGAACAAGACTCAACATTGAGCATTATTCTCCACTAAAACCAACCAAGGGCGGTTTTATTTTCATTGGGCCTAACTCCTCCAGTCGAGCCTAAGATCTTGGAGCTGTCAATTACATGACACAAGCTGTCGTCAGAGTTGGGTCAAAGATTGGGTCTTAAAGTCGGGTTTGAGGAATGACGGCTCGAGCCGAAGTATTTTTTTTTATTTATTGATAATATGGAAACATAAATTCATCCTCTTTAGAATTCAAATGTAGAAAAAAAAATTAAAAGATCGAAATTGTACCGAGATCCCATTTTTAACGCAAAAATGTAGCATTTCTTATTTAAAAAAATGTCTCTCGGCTGCAATGTCATTTCTTTATTTTATAATTCAAGCTCGAGCTGAAAGAATTCAAGAAACTAGTAAAGAAAATTTTCATGAAAGAATTTATCCTATTTTTACAATACAATCTATATATAAATTTGGCTTGTCTGTCTGTCTGTCTGTCTGTCTGTCTGTCTGTTTGTATCCAATAAACGTCAAAACGGCTGAACCGATTGGGCCCAAATTTTTTGTGGGACATCTAGGGACTCCAGGGAAGGTTTATGAATCATCAAAATTTCAAATATTTGTCTCCATCAAAATTCGATCGTCATTAAATTTTTTACAATTTTGAAAATCCGCGAAATTTTTTGTGAAAATCCGCGAATTATTTTTGTTTTGTTTTAAACCCTAAGATGAAACGTCCACCCCTCTGGAAATACATAAGATTCACCTTGGAAATTCCAGGTACAACATCTGTTTATTTGAGAACACTTGTATCCAGTCCTTACAACTTTTCTTCAAATACCTCAGTAGTATCAGGTAGCATTGAGAACCTGTATCTAAAGGAGAACCAGGAGAACATTAAGAACATTAAGACCTAACCCTAGATACCAGAAGAACCTACAGAACTTTGAGAAACTGCAGAACAAGGAGAACCTATAGAACAAGTAGAACCTACAGAACAAGGAGAACCTACAGAACAAGGAGAACCTGAAGAACAAGAAGAACTAGGAAAACAAGAAGAACCTACAGAACAAAGAGAACTTGCAGAACAAGGAGAACCTGCAGAACATGGAAAACCTGTCAGAACAAGGAGAACCTACATAACAAGAACAAGAAGAACCTACAGTACAAGGAGAACTTGCAGAACAAGGAGAACCTGAAGAACAAGGAGAATCTGAAGAACAAGGAGAACCTGAAGAACAAGGAGAATCTGAAGAACAAGGAGAACCTGAAGAACAAGGAGAACCTGCAGAACAAGTAGAACTTGCAGAACAAGTAGAACTTGCAGAACAAGTAGAACTTGCAGAACAAGGAGAACCTGCAGAACAAGGAGAACTTGCAGAACAAGGAGAACTTGCAGATCAAGGAGAACCTGCAGAACAAGGAGAACCTGCAGTACAAGGAGAACCTGCAGAACAAGGAAGAACCTGTAGAACAATAATAACCTACAGAGCAAGGAGAACCTACAGAACAAGGAGAACCTACAGAACAAGGAAGAACCTGTAGAACAAGGAGAATTAGGAGAGCAAGAAGAACCTGCACTTGCATAACAAGGAGAACCTGCAGAAGAAAGAGAGCCTTCAATACACGGAAACTCTTTAGAACCTTGGAACCGAAACTTTAATACCTGAACCTAGAAGAACCAAACCAATCTGAAAATCCGGGATCTAAAGAAGTGAGATTTTCAAAATTTGAAAATTATAAAACCGACTAAATAACGGAAGTGTGTTAAACAAAGTTATAAAGTTGACACGAAATCAACATTATTGTTAGTTTGGATAAAAACGACAAATAATCGAGAAAACTAGATGAGATATCTCAGCAGTGTATAAGATGACTCATCATTGATGTATATATTATGAAATATGCAAAGGTTTCAACTGTTATAAAATGAGAGGAAGAAGTAAAAGTTACTCAGATCTATCCACCCTACTCCCCCCTTGTATCCATACTGTATCCTGTATACAGAAGCTTGTCTGTCTCCCTCGGGTCTCCTTGGTTATACCTTGTGTTAGATGTTTGTGTTCAAGAGATACAAAGAGAAGACGGTCTGTGTTCTATACTAACCTAGAGATAGGTTTATCAGGTAATATATATACATAGAGAAGGTCTGTGTTCTATACTAACCTAGAGATAGGCTTATCAGGTAATATATATACATAGATAAGGTCTGTGTTCTATACTAATCTAGATAATATACATTCCTAGAGAAGATCTATAATAAGCTAGGTATAACTTTAAAAAGTCGAAGCCTTTTTATTTGATTCAGCCGTTTTTAGCCGTAAACTAAGACATTATTTAGGAGAAAACGTTGTGTCTGAAACCGCAAAACCAGGGTATTGAAAAACATTAGCCGTGTCTCATAAATAAGAATTAAATAACAGGGTGCCTTTAATCATTGTTGTTCTAAAAATACCCGTAGAATTTATCCCATTGTCGTATTGTATTTGTGTGTCAATTATATTTAAAACAATCAAGCGTGATGTTGTTTTTTGGAGGATTTCAAGAGTTTTTTTAAAAAGCCGATAGAAAATTAATATATGAGTATCATATTTGCAATTTGAATGCAAGTGTAGTAAACCGAATGAATTGCCTTTTCAATGTCATGTATTTTTTGCTATTCAAAAGTGCACGTTTCTAATTTTTGCTGTGGGAACAGATAAAATGTCTAACCAATTGATAATTTGGGAATTTTTGCTTATGTTTGAAATCAAGTAATCAAAAATTCAAAAACTTAAACTTTCTTCCATAAAATGTTTCTTGTGAACCTGTAAAGGGAAACCAAAAAAGATATTAATTTGTTAAACCCATATTTAAGAAAGAAAATAATTAATAAAGAAATTTAGTATTTGCAATAAGCTCAAATTTTCTAGTCTCTATATCTTTGCAATCTAATGGTTTGATATTTCAAACTTAGATTTTTTGGTATACCTGCAGAAATCATAGCTTGAAATATCTTTGTTGTACAATATCAGGTTGCAAAGATATTGCGCTTAGAAAATCAGAGTTTGTGACAAAGACTCAATTCCTTAATCTTTATTAATTGAAATATATTTCTTTTTAGATGATTCTGATTTCTCAGACGATAATCTGATTTTTAATCAATCCATGAAAACCATCCAAGTTAAGCAGACGCAGCATTACGAACAGCAAGTTGGGAAATTAAAATGGAAACAGGAACTGTTGAAGAATATTCGAACTAAACAGGAACACTGGATTAAGAATAGGCTAGCTGAAGGCAAGAAACAGGAAAATGTGTTTTCTAACTCATCGTCAGGACAAAATTGGAAACAGGAGGAGGAGAAGCTGAGCTCTTGTATTCAAAAGAAACAGGAGAGAAATATATCCAGCAACTCAAAACCATTGAAAAGGGACAACAAAGCAATGATACAGGGTCGAGAAGCAAGGATACAGGGCGGAGAATCAAGGATACAGGGCGGAGAATCAAGGATACAGGGAGTAGAAACAAGACTACAGGGCGGAGAATCAATACAGGTCGGAGAATCAAGAATAAAGGTAGGAGAATCAAGGATACAGGGCGGAGAATCAATGATACAGGGCGGAGAATCAAGATTACAGGGCGGAGAGGCAAGGATACAGGAGGGAGAAGCAATAATACAGGGCGGAGAATCAAGAAAACAGGGCGGAGAATCAAGGATACAGGGCGGAGAATCAAGACTACAGGGCGGAGAATCAAGGATACAGGAGGGAGAAGCAAGAATACAGGGCGGAGAATCAAGAATACAGGTCCGAGAATCAAGGATTGATGGCAAAGAATCAAGGATACAGGGCGAAGAAGCAAGGTTGCAGGGTGTAAAAGCAAGCATTGATGGCGAAGAATCAAGGCTCCAGGGCGGAGAAGATGTATCTAAGATACCGAACGGAAAATCAAGGATAGAAGAGGGATATATTCACACGAAACATTGGTATGAGGAAACTAGTAAATCCTGCGGGAATTATACTCACGCTACAGGGAAACTGTGTGGTTGGGAGGTGGGGAATCTTCCAGGAGGGGAGGGGAAAACTAACAACATATATTCACACGGAATATCAGTTGGTTTTCAACCATCGTGTGGTACAGACATGACTAGCCGTGCTCCACCAACAAGAACAAGAACTCGAATATACAGAGATAAGAGCAAAGAAAGGACACTGCTCTCCTCCAAGAACTCGTTTAACTCTTCCTTTAAGAAGAGGAATGAAGAGAACAAGAAGACAAGATTAGGAATAGCGATTGCGGACAACTTTCCTAGTCCTTATGATAAGGTTCGGTTTGATTAAATTTGTTTACGTATATTTTTATTTGCTGATTCTTAGTTTTACTATTTTATTAATCATTTGTAAAAACCCTATTCAAACTCCTATTAATCTTAATTCTTTTATGATTTTCTTTGAAATAATCTTTTCAAGAATTTTTAGAAATTTCTTTGATCGTAAATTTTCATAAAACATATTCTTCTTCAATTTTTTAATTGAAATTAAGTAAAGTAAAAAACATGAAAAACGATGAAAACAATAACCCTATGCAGGAATCTAAATCTATGCATAGCCTCGGGGCTATTCAAGATTTATTTTTACACAGACCTGACTTTTTACTGCCCTGTACCCTATATTATGCATTTAAAAAAATGTTTTTACAAAAAAATCATTTCAATTTCTATTCATTAAAAGTCACAAAATTTCACAAATGAGATTGCTAGGACAAAAAAGCTGTTTAGGTTTAATCAATGTTATCTAGGATGGGCTGCCCTTTAGGCAGGGAGATTGTATCGAGATTATAAGTATGGATGCTACTGGTCTATGGCGGGGTAAGGTGGGAGGACGGATTGGAGTGTTTAAGTTTATCTATGTACGAGTATGCACTGAAGAGGAAGAGGAGAAAATATTAAACCGGAAACATCAGGATATCAGGTACAGATCGTGATCTCCAATAATTTGGTTCGTTTCACTTTTTGCCTGTATTTTCTTAAGGATCCAAAAAGGATCCAAAAATGAGTGTTAACGATCGTTTTTGGATTGTTTTTCTAGCAATCAGAATTTAGGAGACATTTTTCCCATTCCAGTTAGAAGACATGTTTGTGGCGGCAGCGCCCGTACGTTCATAGGATTTTTTATTTCTTTAAGATATTTGCTAAATTGTCTTCAAATCACGATTTGACGTGAAATAAGAATATTTTTCAATATTTAACCCAATTTTATCCAAATTCCTCTGATTAAATATCCTTAACTAAGGGAAAGTAAACTTTTTGTTAATCCTTAAAGATTCACCATCTGTTGAAATCAAACAATTGGTTTTTCAGGCAAAACATCGTTAAAGTAACGCCTTAGGGAACCAACTTCATAATTCTGTAAAAATATTTAAATTTCTAAATTCTCTATAATTTATGTATACTCCCTGAATTGCATACACTTCCTACTTCCTGTTCTCCCTGTACAACTCCCTGTACTCCTTATACTCCCTGTACTCCCTGTACTCTGTACCCTCTGTTCTCTCAGTACTTCATGTACTCCCTGTGTTCCCTATACTCCCTGTACTCCATGTACTCACAGTACTCCATGTACTCACAGTACTCCATGTACTCCCTGTACTTAATGTTCTCCATGAACTCCCATTACGCCATATACTCCCAGTACTCCATCTACTCCCAGTACTCCATGTTCTCCTAGTACTCCATGTTCCCCATGTACTCCATCTACTCCGTGTTTTAACTCTATTTGTTTAGTTTGGAAGAGTTTCTATGTTCCGGTAATCTATCGAATCTTGTTCCTATTTTAACTCTGAATGGATATGATACTTTAAACCATCTAGTTTATATGTCACAGGTAAACACAGAGATACTCCTTTGGTTCTAATCCTTAAAATCTGCCTAATTATGCTTTTTCTAATGATCATCTAAAAAAAAGGATCCGCTGATGCAAGAGCGTTTTACCGTTTTGTGAGAAAATTTTTTTTTTTTTTCCAATCTTTGTTTTATATTAATGATTATAACAGATTTTACCCTTTTTCAACAAAAATCTAAAATTCATTTTATTTCTTCTAGGCAAATTTTTAAAAATGATTATGAATGAAATTTACTTGTGAAAATGTTAAAAATGAAATCTTAGATTTAGAAATCTGTACAAAGTTCACGTACTGGTAGTAAAATTTATATTTTTACCCGAGTTCTCATAATAATACTGGTTTCTTTTACACAGCGTGTCCCAAAATTACTCCTAATACAAATATTTAAAATTAAATTTTATATAATCAATATTCATTTTTTGCTAGTACTTAGAAAAATTTACTGCCGGTTTTATGTACAGTGAAACCAGAAAACAATGGAATAGGTAGACGCCATGATAGCAAATATGTAGCTTTACTAGTTTCTTATTAATAACTTATCAAACGAAATGAGTACATTACACAGTACATTACACAATTACTATGCATTAGGTTAGTTGAACTATTAAAAGTTCAGAGCTGGGAACTTTAGAATAGGATACCTTTAATCCCGACTGCTTAATCCGAATATCCAATGTGGACACTTTTAATTTCTTGTTGGATATAGTACAGAAAATCAAAAACCGGTTTTTAAAAATTATAGAGTCCCTCCCGTTTCTGTATATTAATTTTAAATGGCGCGCAAAATTACAAATTTCCTAATTTCTAATAAGCGACTCTGATTGGTTGAATTTTATACACTTTTCAGGATACAAGTACAAGATTAGGTTAGTCTTGAGATTAAGAAAAAAAGAAGAGCAAGCATTGACCTCGATATCCACCATTCAAAGTTCCCAGCTCAGAATATATATATATATTCTGAGATTTAAAGCCAGAACTTGAGTCTAAAAGACGTCTTTCTATCTAACAGTTTTCTGGCTCTCACTGTATCAAAATTAAGTTAAATTAAATGCTATTTAGATGACAACATAAATACAGGAAATTGGCAGTTTCAATTAGTATCGTTGTTCAGTGTTCACCCATAGGCCTAAACTTTTGATTTGAACAGCGCGAAGCCACATCAAATGAAATTGATTTCTACAACATTTGAATTTTGAATTTAACCATCTTTAAGTATAAATTAGTAATCTCTGTTTGTTTGTTTGTATCTTTGATCATAACTCATGAACCCTTGAACCGATTTGCCTCAAAATTTAATTGGGGAACTCTGTCGAGAGTAGAACCATGCGGGAATGTTCTTAGCAGTATCCTAGGTTTAAAATATTAAATAACAAGTGGAGTGGGTTGAATATGTTTAGTTTCCAGGCATGGCTGGGTTTCCAAGCTGATTAAGTTATAATTCCGAGGGTATACGGGGTTGCCGTCGCCAAAGGCTTAAATTTAAAATAGAAACCGACAAAGCATGTTATGAACAGATTGCCTAAAGTTTAAGCTTTACAGATTTCTCAATTTCTTTAATCTTTTAAAACATCATTCTTAAAAACAATTTTAAAAATGTTTATCTATTATTTTAGGCTGAGTTTGAGTATCTAGGAATATGTTCAAGTTTACAGAAAACTATTTTCAACAATCTTAATAAACTCTCAACTCAGTCAAACTCTTCTAACTCAGAGGGTTCTGTTAACTCAAAGGACTCAGAAGATTCTGGAAAATCCAGCTCGGACTTATCAGTCAACTCAGATTCAGTTAACTCTTTGTTTTCGGAAGATTCTGCCGATTTGGTGAACTCAGATTTAGTGGGTTGTGAAGCCTTTAACTCTGAATACTATGTGAACTCTTATTATAACGAAGAGTTTTCTGACCTCTCTTCACCTGAAGAACTCTCCAGTGATATCAACGCTAACTCTTGTTCTCCTTGTACCTCTTCTTTATATAGAACTAAAGAGGCGATGGATACAAGGTCCACAGTGGTGAAACCTTCAAACACAGTGGTTAAACCTACGAACGCAGAGGTTAAACCTTCAAGCACAGTGGTTAAACCTCAACTATCCAAACCAAGCTCATTTCTTTACTCATTTAACTCTAATTCTAGTTTTATTTCAAGTATTGATATCTAAAACCAAACTTTTTGCTTAAAATCCAGAAGTGCACATTGTAAAAATATTTTCTGTATATTTATTTATTTATACTATTATGTTTTTGATAGTGAAGTAATTAAAAGTTTTTAGAAGGGATCAATCCTATACTTGGTTTGGGATCAATCCTATACTTGGTTTATAATGAGTGTTAGTGAACCCTTCAATTTAAAATATTTGATTCTTTTATGTCGAATTGTTTTTGTTTTTTTCATTGCAGGATCAATGAAGACTATTTAAAATTTATTTTTTTGTTTTATTATATTTATTATTACTATATTTGTTGCTTATTATTAATATATTTTCGTGTCTTCAGGAAAACTTTTTTTTAACGATTCTTTTTCGCTGATTTCAGTATTTGTTATCTTGGGCATAGTTCTTATTCATATTTAATCCCTTTTCACACCATGGATGTTTTAATCTTTATTTACACAAAAACGTTGTGCTCCCAAGCTAATCCATGTATATAAAGATGTTATCTCTGTTTGTCTCTTTGTTTGTATGATGATCATAAAACTCAGTAACCCCTCGACCAATTTGCTTCAAATTTAGATTGAGGAACTCGGAAGAACCACATTAATGTCTTTGCCTGGTTTTGAGAGTCTAAGTTGAGTTGATAGGCTTTACTAGGAAAAATTTGGTTTCCTGTTAAAATCGACCAAGTGCGGGTAAACGGCTAGAGTAACTATGAGTACCCTGGGCAACGCTGGGTTCCCAAGCTAGTCCATATATATAAAGATGTAATCTCTGTTTGTCTCTTTTTTTGCAAGGCGATAATAACTCAAGAACCTCGTGACCGATTTGCCTGAAATGTTGATTGAGGAACTCGGGAGAACCACATTAATGTTCTTTGCCTGGTTTTGAGATTCTAAGTTGAGTGGGTCTACTTTTAGAGGGAAAAATAGCTAAAATCGTAATTTACGACCAAGTGTGGGTAAACGGCGGGAGTGAATATGAGTACCCTGGGCAACGCTGGGTTCTCAGACTAGTGTTTAATAAGATACAATTACTGTATAATGCATAACACGCTGTACACCAGTTTATCATGCATGGTACTATTGTGGGATACTTGTTAAAAGTTCGCGTCACGTCATATCTCTGTTATTTGTTGAGAATTAAACAGAGAAACAGTCAAATTTATCTTTTCATTGTTCCATAGTTCCAGTGTAACATAGTTCCATAGTTCCGATGATATATCACCAATGTAGGATGTAATTATTTTCCAGTTCTTGGCAACCTTTACCAAGTTACCAGCATCACTACCTCTCCAGGTTAGATTCATTTTGGCAGATTTACTTTCCTATAGGTTTTCAAGGTTTTGTTTACTTTCCTCTAGGTTTTCAAGGTTTTGTTTACTTTCCTCTGGGTTTTCAAGGTTCGGGTTTATTTTCCTCTAGGTTTTCAAGATCCTGTTTATTTTCCTCTAGGTTTTCAAGGTTCTGTTTACTTTCCTCTAGGTTTTCAAGGTTATGTTTACTTTCCTCTAGGTTTTCAAGGTTCTGTTTATTTTATTCTTACTTCTTCAGTAATAACCAGAAAACTGTAGAATAGGAAGACGACATTAAAGCAATACTAAAGTGCATTTGATTTTGTTACAAATCAAATAGCTTCACTATTAAGTTATTAAATCACATATAGAGTAAAATAGGCGTGTTTACACTGTTCAATTGCTGTGCCTCATGTTCATTGGAATTTTTTGAGTCATAACTTTAATCTAAAAGTCGACTTCCTATTCCAGAGTTTTCTTTTTCATCACTGTAGGTTTAATTAATTATACATCTAGGTGTAAGTTATTATACTTCTAGGTTTGATTCTTTATACTTCTAGGTTAGATTCTTTATACTTCTAGGTTAGATTCTTTATACTTCTAGGTTGATTACCTTTACTTCCAGGTTTAATTCTTTAAACTTCTACGGTTGCAAAAAAAATAATTCTTGTACACTTCTAAACTAATTCAATATACTTCTAGGTTTAATTCTTTATACTTCTTCAGTTGCAAAGATTAAAAAATTAGACTTTTTGAATTTTCTTGAGAGTGTGTATGTTTTAATTGATTCTTTAAAACTTAATTTGATAAAATGTATCTGTTACTTCCTGCTTTTCTTTAATTCTAAACTTGTTTTAAAGGGATTGTAAACACAGTTTTAAGTAACACTTCATGCAAAGTTTGCAGCGCCGGTACCCTTGAAAACTTTATTTTATTAAACATGATTTATTTATCCATGTTTTGGTTGCTTTAAACTGTTTTTTTATTTGCACATTCCTCGCTTATAAGAAGCGATGGAGAAATTCACAGAAAATATAACTTTTCATGTCCGTTATAAATCGGGCATTGTACTTTTGCTAACACTCCCTTTAAAATATAAAAGTCTGTGGTATTTATTGATTGTAATATTGAACATGAACCAGTAATCAGGAAACAAAACAATGTTTGTCAGTTTAATGGCGACAAGTTTACGATGGGAAAAAGGTCTATTTAAATATTTAAATGTTTTTTTTCGCTGAATTTGAAGCAAAATCTTATAAATCCTAAAAATTTCAATCGGGGGTTTTTAAAAACATATTTAAGTGAGTGATAATTTCAAATTTATGCTTCGCCAAATCTTTTCTTGAAAAGAAACAGATTTATTTTAGAATTCTGCATTAAGATATATATGAATCTAGTACGGACCGCAAATTCTTCTATTTATTGTTATTCCATGAAAAAAAATGTTTAAATTTGAACCTACTAAACTACTAAAAATATAAATAATTAAAGTATGAACTGTAAATGACCATAACTCCTAAAATATTTATTATTTTTCAGAGTTTAAAATATTAATGGACACTAAACGTTAAATCGTGAGAATTTAGCTGCAACGTAGTTTGTACCTAAATCAAGGGCGTATATAGAAATAAATCTAAGGGGGGGCAAACTATGCACAAAGTGGAATTTTGTTTGCCCCCCCTCCCCATAAGAGCTTCTCGGGGGCAAAATTTGAACCGTAAATTCAAAACATTTGGCTTCTCGGATACTTCAAAGATACACATACAGTCCAATTACCTTACAACTACTACTTTATCTATTCTTCAAACAAAACTTGCAGAAAAAAAACAGCAAATTAATTTTTTTAATACTTTTCACCTTCAGTTTTAGATTTAAAAAGTGTGATAGCTCTGAGTTCTAGGGGGGCACGCCCCCCTTCCCCCCCTGTATACGCCCTTTACCTTAATGTAAACATTCCTCTAAGTTTCAAGGGCGATTTTTGACCATTTTTTAGTAGAAACTAAAGTTTTTATGCTTCTTTAACTTAGTACACTATCAAACAATAAAATTATAACAAATCTTATAGAAATTTTAGGTTTTTTAAAGAAATGTTGCTCTTTTTACGAAAAAGATATATCAATAACAAGAGAGGGGGAAGGCAGGCGGCAATGAGCCACCACTATTTCCCCTTCCGTGCCACAAATTAGCTTTTTTCTCTTCTGGCAGCCATGAGCCACCACTATTTCCCCTTCCGTACCACCACATTTGACTCTTCCGGGCAAAACTACTTTTTTTAATGGTATATTTAGGGCCTTTAAAGTGTGATTTTAAAAATCCAGCCGCGTCACGCAAAAAAGCACAACTCAAACCATTTTTTCAATTCTACTTAAGATTAATATTTTGTGTGTTGAATTCTTAAACTGTTTAACAATGAAATTTTTGACAAATTTGACTGAGTATTGCATCTTGAAATATCACAAAGTTGGTCAATGAGTGATTTTAAGATGGATTTAGTATAATGATTCAGTAATTGAATAATCATTAGACTTTGTGATATTTCAAGATGCAATACTCAGCCAAGTTTGTCAAAAATTTCATTGTAAAACAGTTAAGAATTCAACACACAAAATATTAATCTTAAGTAGAAAAATGGTTTGAGTTGTGCTTTTTTACGTGACGCGGCTGGATTTTTTAAAATCACACAAGGCCCTAAATATACCATTTAAAAAAGTAGTTTTGCCCGGAAGAGTCAAATGTGGTGGTACGGAAGAGGAAATAGTGGTGGCTCATGGCTGCCGGAAGAGAAAAAAGCTAATATGTGGCCCGGAAGAGGAAATAGTGGTGGCTCATGGCCGCCTGCCTTCCCCCGCTCNCGGAAGAGAAAAAAGCTAATATGTGGTACGGAAGGGGAAATAGTGGTGGTTCATGGCTGCCGGAAGAGAAAAAAAGCTAATATGTGGCACGGAAGGGGAAATAGTGGTGGCTCATGGCCGCCTGCCTTCCCCCGCTCATAACAAGCGTCGGATGGGAAATCAATGTTGGCCCAGTTACGTTGTTAATCGTTTTTAAAAACGAACGAAATATGATCGCTTTTCTTTTTGTTTCTCTTATTTTCTTAAATCGATCGTTTTTGAAAACGAACCCCTCATATTGAACTTTAAAAAACGAAAAACGATTGCTTTTGAAAACAACAGTTTTTTGAAAACGATCGATTTTTTATTTTGCTAATGAATCTGAGTTTAATGACAATTTATTTCCATTTTTGTTCAGAAAGATAAGGTTATCTTACATGTTTTTTATCGACATAAATAAACTGAATGCTTTCTGACCTCAGATTTTCCGATCAAAAAAAGTATTTTCTCTTTAAAAGCTCGTTAACGGTCGTTAACGAAGGGTCGTTTTAAAAAACTATCGTTTTTAAAAAACGAAAACCGATCGTTTCGTTTTTAATTTTTTCTTCGTCGTTTTCAAAACGAACGATCGGTTTTGAAAGAATAAGAATAATCCGAAAATATGTACGAAATATGTAAATATCTAGGGTCGATTCGAATCTAGTGCAATTATCTTAACCTTTAAAGATCTTTAGGGCACTCGCGCCGCTTTATCAATAGGTTTTGATCGGTTCAGCCGTGTTGGACGTTTATTGGATACAAAGAGTAAATATACGTGTATCTGTGATAGATAGATAGATTGTGATTTCTTTTCAGTTTCTTTTTAAAATTTCTAATAAAAAATAATAAATTAATTTGTTTGATCTTTCTGGTAGCGTCTGATCCAATTACGGTTTAGTCAAGTGCAAGGTGACGATTAAGAACAGGGTTTCTAGCGAACGAAAATTTTCTTTCGTTTTCGCGAAATTCCGCATTTTTTCGCGAAAATGAACTAAGCGCTAAAATGCGAAATTTCCTCCTCAATTTTTGCACTCCTTATTTCGCGAAAATTTTGCATTCTTTTTGGCGAAACAGATTAAAACAAACTTTCGCGAAACAAGCGAAAATGTTAACATTTTTCGCGAGCAACCATAATGCAAAAAAATGTGAAATTTTCGCGAAACGATTTACCCTTTTCCCTATCTTTATCATCGTTCAATTAAAGATGAATCCTGGATATGGGATAGGAAGAAAGAGATGAATGCTGGATATGGGATAGGAAGATAAACAAATTTTTTTCAATTTTCAATTCCTAGATAAACAACATTTTCAAAGTTGAGATGGAATTTAAAGAATTTGAGCCGCGGTTTAAATCTGCCAAAACCCGGTTTAAATTAAGCGCCGGCTTAAATCTTGAAACATTTTAAACAAATTTAAGTGGAACCAACAATTTGAAAGCCGCGGAAATTCTTTAAATTCGGCCATTGATATTTTAAGAGTGATTGTTTGGATTTCATGTTACATTCATGGTTTGTTGTCAATCTTTAGACCAGGAAAGAATTGAGTTTTCGCCAATCAAACTCAAATTTTCTAATCCCTATATCTTTAAAACCTGATGGTAAATTGATATTGGATTACAAAGAGTTAAGGATTAGAAAATCGGAGTTTTAGGTGAAAATTGAAATAAGATTCTAGTTATTTTTTGGTACAAATAATATTGTATAGATATGTTGAATTCGATATACATAATGAATATATAATGAATATATAATGAATATATTTTGAGTGTGTTTTGTAAGTATTCATGGTGATGAGTGACATCAAAAATAGATGGATGAATAGGATACATTTTGTCAACATGACAAGGAAACACACTAGAAGGACTAGAAACCAAGATGGATTTTTAAAATATTTTCAAATTGGATATTTTTTATCTGCTAAAGGAACTCAGCAAATTTGTAAAGCCTCATATCTTGGTCAACCTGATGGTGTATACTTTTGATATTTAACCTAAAATAATTCATATAGTTTAAAGTATCTAAGGTTTACGACATTGGGTTTCAAAGAAATAGGGATTAGAAAAGAAGATGTTTTAAACAGCTCTTCAATAAAAGGAGTTATTGTTGAAAACATATAAGTTTTCAAATTTATTTTAGTTTAAAAAGTAATAAATCCTAGAATGCTGTTAAAGTCTGAATCAGGGAGCTACCTCTCCGTGTGTATTGTCCTGAGTGTACACTTGGGATAGTTAACTTATAAAGGATGTTAAGAGATATGCAGTACGCTTTCAGAGTACAAGTGTATGGGGAGGTTTTGTATCTTGAATTTTACTCAGTTTTCTCAGAACAGTTTATTAATGATGAAATATTGCTCTGTAAAAGACTGTAATAGTTTGTCTTCCTGTGGAAATGGAATCCTGCACACGATAAAGTAGTAGTGGATTTTTATAGTTTCATGGAAAACAAATTCTCCATTTAAATATTTTACGAAATCAACCCCGAGTACTGTAATATACAGATTGACCTTAGCTTTGGAAGTAAAGTACATGGCCTGTTTAATTAGTAAAGGATTGGCATACATCATCACTCTATGTTACCTCGTTGGTCTTGAAGATCTCCGGTGCTAGGCCTAAAAATCCTGAACTTGGAGATCCAATACAACAATTTATTCTTTGTTATATGAAAAATAGTTTCCCTGTTTTCTGGTTTCTACTGTAGAAATAAAATTTATTCTAAAAATTTGTGAGAACTGAAAAAGTTCAATAATAAAATTTTAAATCTAAACAATATCAGTTGGAAACTATAAAGGTCGTCATCCTTGTGACACCAATCTATTTTTATATTCAATAATTTTTCTGTTTTTTTAACTATTTATAACACTGTAATTTTGGTTCGCAGTGTTCTAAAGTTGTTGGACAGAAATTTTCCCTTTATTGAGAAGGTTCAAGCCTTTTCAGAAAAAGGCGAGAACCTTCGAGATTAAGAGCAAATCTAAGTTCAAAAACTTTATAGCACATCGTGCCAAAATAGGGTTATTGAGTTTATGAAACGTTTTTGTACTCGTCTTTTTTCAATGGCTCTTTTAAATCAAATAACCTTTGAAACAAAGCAGAAGTCAAAATATAAAGTTGATTTCAATTTTATTTTGTTTTAAAAATATCCTAAATATCCTTTAGAGAAAGTCCGGAAACCAATCAAAACTTGTTAGCCCACTTGCTATAATGTACAGCGAATTTACCTTTACAGCACGATGATTACTTTATAGCACAGGTTCAATATGAAATTCCTGATGAAGTGAGTATGAATGATGAAGTACAGAATAGCTTCATAAAATCTTTTTTTTTTAAATTTTTAATAATGATTTCTTTATTCATGGTGTCATGGATGAAATATATGCTCATTACCTACATCATAGCTTTGAATATAACTTTTTTTTCAAATATACATGTAATATTTTAGGCCTTACTCATTTTTTTATATTTGGTGATATTTCCTGGACCCTGTTCTGAAAATTTTAAGCAATCTTCCTCAATCACAGGTTAAAACTTACAACCCAGATTTTTGTGACAACTCGCATAACCCTATTGAAATGTTTATTATGGCTGGTCGAAGTTAACATTTTTCTTAATGTCGACATTATTATTATTTTTAGAAATCCGTGAAAATTTGAGAACGATTTGACTTGAAAGGAAACGAAGTTAAAAGTTTTATTAGAAAGAGGCCAGCACAGTACCATGAGAACTTATTTCTTTTTTTATTTGTCAGACATTGATAACTGCAATGTTAAGTTACCAATTCGACATAAATACAACTTTTATGAATGTTTGCGAATTCTCCAGTGCCATCTATTGTACTTATTATTTGGGTAATACATTCTTTTGCTTTAAACTTCGGTGATGGTGATGGAACAAACCTCTGTAGAGTAAAAAAAAGTAGATGTTAGTTCCACATTTATGGAAAATATATTTCGGTCTGGGTTGACGCTCGTCAGTTCTAACGATATAATCAAAATCGATAAAAAAAAATTGTTAAAACCTCAAGAAAATTAACAAACAAAAAGAAAATTTTTAAAAAAAAATTTGCATTTCTATTTTTGTCTTTAATTTTCCGAAAAAGATTACAATCAACAGTTTATTCTGGAATATTTTTATTTTGTTTATTGGTTTTTGAAGCTTGTGCTCCACAAAAATTGAAAACTATAGTGATAACCAGAAATAGGAAGACGACTTTATAGCATTAATAGGGCTCAGCAAAGTTCCGTTAAGGAAACGGAGGTTTTCGAAAATTAACGGAAGAGTCCAGAGTCCGTTAACGGTTGTTAAATGTCGTCTTAAGCCCCCCCCCCCCTTTTTTATATGATTGAACTTTAAAAGAATTTTTATTGAAATTTGGTAACTGCTTGAAACGTGCTTTAAACGTGCCATAAATCCAATTTGATAAACTGTAAACAATTTTTTATGGACATTTTTAGAGCATTGGCAAAATGATAACGTATTTAATACTACAAACAATCGTTATCACGGCTTACGCCGTTAACAATTTGACAAACCGTTTAGTGAAAATTTCTTCTGTTAACGCCGTCATTAAAATTTAGATCATTAAATAACTTTTCTTTAAACGGAAAATACCGTTAGCTAAACAAACGATCCGTTCTTAACTTTAAAATCATAGATAAATAAGTAAACATAGATAGCTTATGTACGCAAAATCACCAAGAATTGTACAGTCCGCGAACTAAGGGTCAAAGTGTACTACAATGATAAGCGGGGTGGTTTGGTGTTTTAATGGATTTCATAATAGAGTGTAAAATAACTCCGGGAATGGAACTATTTGAACAACAATATTTCCATAGAGAATAGAATATATAGAGAGGAATTTACTAGAAAAAAGTGTAAAACGGCCATTTTGTTGTACTGTTTCCATACTGCAGGTGTACTTCACATATTTATGCTATGTAACCTGTTGGGCCCTGGAATATCATTTTATAGAAAATCTAAAATTATTGTTAAAAGAAAACCAAACTATGAAATAGGCTGGTTTCATACTTGATAAATGATCATTTCACATAGACTCTATGCCTTCCACTGTACAAACGATGATTTTCCATTATAACTATAAATCAAATGATGTTTTTATTTACCTAATTCATTATAAAGTTTATTTTACAGCTTTAAAAATTTCGAAATTGAAATGAATAGTCTAGGGAACATACTGTATTAATGTACTCTACTGCATATAATTTGTGAACATTTACATGATTTGTACACTGAATTCCCTTTCAGGCTGAAAGGGACTGAAAAAATTCATACCAAGAGATTCTTTTAATTCCTCTCTATATATTCTATTCTCTATGAATATTTCACTGAGCAATATATCATATTGACGAGAACTGAAGAAGGACATGAGAAGGAATAAACTAACTTAAATTTCTCTCTACAGAACTCATGTACACCACAAGTACTCAATGACATAAGAACAGCCAATGTTCACAACCGACCTAGTTAATCTATATAATAGGAATATCTTTAAAACATCTCTGTACATTTATATCTTTCAAGATGAAAAATGTCGTCTTATGCACAATCTATCTTTATCTATGTTTAAAACTAACAGCTACCTGGAATTTTTTTGTAACGGTTGGAACTATAATCGTTAACGGAACAATTATGTAAAGTGCACATTAGATTGGATTTTCTGATTTTTATTATTAAGTATTCATTAAATTATTAATGATTCTTTTTTGATGTCAAATTTCAAAAACAGAATGCTTTAAATTAAACAATAAAGAAATTAGAGATCTAAATGTTTGCTGTTTCTGCAGTTTCTTTTCTCATGTGCATGTGATTGCGTGTACTAGCGCCAGGGGTCCCCATTCCGGCCTGGTCAGTGGGCCGTTGCCGCGCAGCTCTCTTTCTGCTTCCAATAACCGGTTCTATTCCTCTAGCCTCTGTAATGGCGTAGATTTCGGCCCGGTTTGCTGGTTCACTTTGGTTAACTGTACATCCACAATATCTATACAAAAAGAGAGATTCATAAAAAATAGGCAGATTTACCATTTTTGTCCTTTTTTACTATAAATACAAAGGAAACATGATAAATTCGAAAAAAATACTCCGGAAGTTTGTGTTTGTCTAAAAATACCACCATATTGATTTTGAACAATTTCAGAGGATTTTTTTATTTAAAACTTAAACTTTCTTCCCTTATGGTTTAGTTTTTTTAGAATATATTCTTATGCTGTTGTTAAAAAAATGTAATAGCATAAATTTAATTTTCCTAAAGAATTTAGTTATGATCTTTTCTCTAAAATATTTACCTTTCTCCACATTGTTCAACCTTAGCTTTAAGTTTTTTAAAGTAATGTCTCATCTCAGGACTGCTCCCGATTATACAGAGCGGAACAACCTTGAAGAAATTAATTTTCTTATTTATTAATTATTATTATTAGTTATTAAGAATTTGTTTAATTAGTTAGAATTTACCACGTTGAGAATGATGATAATAAGCGTATAATAGTATTCTGTAATTTTTTCCTCCTCATTACTTCTAAAAACATAAAAAAATGCCAAACCTCATAAATGAAATGTATATATATATATATTGTTAAAGTTATGTTTTCTACATAAATCGTTTTTATTTTAACATTTAGAAATAGATTTAATTAAAAATGGCGTCTGCTCCAAACCTGTCCCAAGGACTGGCGTACTGAAGAAGCAAAGTTGGAACCATACATACACATGTGACCAACCAGATCAACAAACTGAAATAAAAGCACTGTGAACAAAACTTTGAAGAAAATTTTTCAAACAATGAACGCCGTTTTCTCATTGGTTGCTTTAAAAAACTTGTTCAAGACAGTGCAAGGCATGTCATCATTTTACAATAGGTAAATGTTATTATTTTGAATTTAATGAGAAAAATGTCAATAACACTGGTAATTAAAATTATCATGATTTTACTACTGCTTTTTGTTCACTATTTTCTTATTGATAACATTAATAGCAATGATATCAACGCTGATTGTTTTTGAGAAAGTAAACCATTTAAAAGCTCTGAATAATCTTAAAATGTTTTTAGAAATCAGATCGATGCTCTTGGGGATCAGAATCTGTTAGGTAATCATAGCTGGGAACTTTAGAATAAGGTATCCTTAATCCCGATCGGTTAATTTATCTGGAGATCAATAACAGGAGGGGAACAAGCTTTATTTAATCTGGAGATTAAGAAAAAGAGGAGATCTAGCATTAATCTTGATGTCCACCATTTAAACGTTCCCAGCTCTGGATGATCTTAGGAGCCAAGACTGATCTTGGGGATCAGAATGCTCTTGAAAATCCAAATTATCTTGTGAATCTGAATGATCTTGGGAACCAAAATAATCTTAAGGGAATGAGAATGATCTTGGAGATCTGAATGATCTTGTGAATGAGAACGATGAATGCTGATGAATACCTGCTTGTGGGGATGGATCATTTTTACTCTTTGAAAAAAGAAAAATTCGATTTAAAAACAACGAACTAACAACGTTGTTTCTTTAACCAATGTTGATCGTTTTTGATTTAATTTAATTAACGATAGACAGTCCTACCTGCTAGTACTATTAATGATGTTAACCATAGCAAGATTCTCATTGTGAGTATCAGCAACGACATTTACTCTCAGCTTATTCACTCTCATGAAGTTTACTAAAAAAAGGAATTCAATTTTTACCACAAACTCAAATTTGTCTTTGCAACCAAATGTTGATATTTCAAACTAATAATTCGGTATGATAAAATAATCTTAATTTAAAACATCAAAGTTGTGTACCATCAATTGTTCCAAGAGTTCAGAAATGAAGTTAATAGTATAATCTCATTGTCAAGTTTGTGGTCGAGATAATCCTAATTTAAAAAGGCCAAAACTCAAAGGTAAATAATTTGAGGCTACCAGACACGTAAAGTAAATTGTACGGAAATTTTAAATCTAATTGAAAAAGCGTTTGAGAATTTTTTTTACTTCTTGAAGAACATATTTTAATAATACACTTTTGTATGCGAATTTTCCTAATATTTTAATTTAGATATTTTACCTTTCTCAAAAATTCACATTATTCAAAAAATTTAAAAGAATAAAAATCACCAAAATGATTTTTTTCAAAAGAAAAATTGCGGATTTTCTGAATTTAATTTCGCGCATTTTCTCCGAAACTATAGATCTTATCTGTTTAAGATTTTAAGGTGTGATAGAAATAATATATTCTCGCACTTTAGTTTTTCTACTAATTTAGTTGAGTAAAAAATAGTTTCACGGATTTTTTACAAGGGTCTTTCAGATTGCCTAACAAAAAAAATATTATTTCATACACATTTGTTAAAAATAAGATTACCAAAAAATGCTTTATTTCCATGTAAGATCTTGCTATTCATCCTTTTTTTGACTCACCCTGTACTGGCTGTGCATAAAATATTTTTGGTGACTTTAAAAGTTATAATATTAAAATAAAGAGATCTAAATGGATATTTCTTAACATTTATTTAAAAAAAAAACGAAAGTGTTTTGAAATATTTGCCCAAGACAGGGTTAAAAATTGGTTGGTTAGAAATGAGCAAAGAAAACTATTGACGAACATCAGTGGTAACATCATGGGAGCTTTGTAGAGCTTCATGTTGGTGGTGCAGATCATCAATATCTTGACAGCAGGTTTGCTCACCACACCTAGGCTTCAGACTAAGGGAGAGAGATCGCAGTTTTATCATGTGCGATTGAGAAATTATGTTGTCTCTGGAATGCATGATAATTTTGGAACTCTGGAACATTGTGGGGCTAGATGTAAGCAGTGTCTGCGGTTAGCTCGGTATCTGCATCACCATCATGAAGGAGCCAGGGTTGAGACGGAGTTGTGAACGTCTTAAGTGTTTCAAGCTGACTGACGCCACTACCCCTCTGAATAGGCGGAGAAGGGGGGGGGTAGTAGCTCTTGTTCCACCTTGTTGAACCGGTAAAGGAACTTTGTATCGAGAGTCTTACGCGGTCAGCTGTAATACACAAGCGCTTCACCAAGGATCGTCTTCCTTATATTTCGAATTTGTGTTAACAATTTTGTATATACATGTATTAAAGGATATTAATTAGCCAAGAGTATTTACCTATATAACATGAACTAAACCATTTATGTTTCTTGTGTACATTATTACATGAAATAGCGTTGTATTTTTCGTTAAAAATCCAATATAAAACTACATTCTATGTTTCATTTATTTGATTTATAATATGCACAAAGCAAAACTTTTAATAGAAAAACCACTTTAATAATAATTGTTTCTTGCTCCATGATTAAAATCAAATATTAACAAATAACATGCATTAATCCCATTCAAAATAAAGGGTTTGTTCCCAATTTTTCAATCAAGTTGTACTTCATTAATCTGAAGATTTATAACGAACTGAGACAATAAATTTCCCATTTTCTATGATCTTACTGCATTCAGTTCTTGATTAAATGTTTTTTTTACAAATATTTAAAATTTTAACATTAATTAAACCTTTTTTCTTTCGGTGATTTAGGCCATTGAATAACACTTGGTTTGCTTATTAAAATGTGCAAATGCTTTTTACAATACAATTACAAAACCGTTTTCAATGAAAAGCATGTTATCTTCCCGATTTTTTATTGGAGCCAATTTTTTCCCACACCCCCCCCCCAAAAAAAAAATTGTATTACTTAAAATCAGTTTGCTAGTAAGTTGTTTTTAAAACTGCAGCATGTATTGGATCCAAAATTCTTTTTTCCTTCTTCTTCTAATTATTCAATCAAAGTACATAATTACAGGTTTATTCCAATCTCAAAATATAGCATTTTGTTGGGGTTACTGGTTCAACTTTTTTTTTGTAAAATATAAATAGAAATTCTTTTTTTTTCTATTTTACAAAAAAAAACTATTTTCTTTAATCTAAAACCCTGTAGACAGAGTGTTTGTGTTTGAAAATATGCAACATTTCAAACTAAACTGATATAAACTTGATTCTAAAATCTGAAGATTGGAATTGATAAATGTTCAAGGTTTATTTCGTGTGGTTAACTACTTGGGTTAACCATATCTTAACAATAAATGAGCTTTCTCTTTAGAATCAGGTTTCCAATCTTTTAAAACTTAAATTTTAAAAGATTCACACACAATAAGGCTAGAAAGTATGAAAGTACAACAACTTACAAAAATAAACTTGTAAAATTGCTAATCTCCTTTTTTACACAAATATTACGTCTTGCGTTCTGATTTCGAAAGTATTGTAAAGCAAAGTAAAAAGGAAGTTGAAGACGACCTAAGAAATCAAAATGGTTCTATTAAGCAGACGCTGAACTCCAATCTTCGAGTGTGCGAGGTGGGGAAGACTTCACTGCAGATTTTACTTTTGTACATCACCACTTTTTCAACAATTTTCAATTAAATTAGTACTTATTTTGGGTTAGGTTAGGTTAAGACACTTTCTGGGCCGAGCGCTGCGGCTAGGACAGGCTAGGGGGCCGAGCGCTGCGGCCACAGGTTAGGTTAAGTTATGATACTTTCTGGGTTAGGTTAAGTTATGACACTTTCTGGGCCGAGCGCTGCGGCTAGGATTCAATCCCGATCTACAAATGTCATCCCCCCTTAATCATGCTTTTAATTTAGCGCGGCAGTGAAGTCTTCCCCTCCTCGCACACTCGAAGGTTGGAGTTCAGCCTCTGCCATTCCATCAGCATGTCAAGCATTGACTGATTTAATTATTGACTAGTGATGAATAATTAAACAAGCCTAGCAGCTCTAGAACTATATTTTACTATAAAGGCGAAACTATTTCATCAAAAATGTTAAAAAATGTTTTTGTCCTAAGTAACTAAGTAGAAGCAACATTTACAAATTTTAAAATGCATCAAAGAAAGATTAAGAACTGGTGCAAGGTGGATTTGAGCATTTTCACCCTTATTTTAGCACAATTTGAAATAAATCAAATAAATGAACAAACATGGTTTTACCTATTCTAATAAAACAGAAAATATCTACTAGAACTGTATTTATCCAGATCACTATGTACGTGAACAGAAAGATGAAGGTTGGAGAATCCTTACTCTCCCAGCCTGTACATGCCTAGAAAATATTTATGTACAGGTGGAATTGTACATTATTTACTAAGGTTTGAAAATTCGTACTCTCCCAGCCTGTACATGCCTAGAAAATATTTATGTACAGGTGGAATTGTACATAATTAACTAAGGTTAGAGATTCTGTACTCTCCCAGCCTGTACATTGCCATGAAAATATTTATGTACAGGTGGAATTGTACATTATTTACTAAGGTTGGTTAAATGGTAAGTTTATGAATTGTTTGCCTACTTTTCTTGCAATCATTATTTCTAGATATAATAAGCTTTTTAACATAGCAGAAATAAGAATTTCAAGTTAATTTCAATTCAATATTTATTTAAAGGGAGTGTTCGCGAAAAATGAAATGGGGTATAGGCTTAATGCGATAAAAAAGCGCTTTTGATCGCTACTAATCTTACTTCTATCTGTTGCGTCTATAAGGAGAAAATTGTTCAAGACGTCGCATACCGAATAACTTAGCGTCCATACTGTAACAGTGGGCGAGTTTTGTTGATCTTTTACGATCAGCAATTCAAGGATTTTTTGGATCGCTGAGATCATAGCTACCAAGGGGAATCATGCCCCCTTCCCCCCCCCCCCATCTTTAACCCTACGGTTGGACTTTAGAGTCCTATTTTGAATCCTAACGGATTTATTTGAGTTTGCATTTGGATTCTATAAATAACCCAAGCGACGCCGAATTTTCCGTTATCTTGAAGACCCAAGCGTTGGGGAGGGGGCGGAACAACCCCGGGGTAGCTAGGGTTAAATGCGATCCTAGGATGGAGCAAAATCGAAGGAGGAGAGTTAGTTGATCATCAGCTCCCTTAAACTGAGGTTCCCTTGAAGAATTCCCCTATTTTGATGAAACTGATTTGATTCATAATATTTAGTTTGTATAAGTATCGTTCGATTTAAAGTTTGTATTTTTTGTATCTTTTGTACATAAATATATTGTAAGAAAAACCGACTCGTTGAATATTTGAGAAACTCAGTGCATTGCTTTATTGATTTTTATTCATATACAATAATACAAATTGAGAAAATTGCAACATACGACTTAGACCGTAAAAAATCAATTTAATTTTAAACAAATCATTCAGATATTACAATCTATAGTCATCGATTATCTTTCGCCATATTTGTATATAGTTTATATAGTTTACCATGAAGAGTGGAGGATACTCCTTAGTAAGAGATATAAAGGGTAGCGAGAGTAAAATCCCTCCTGCAGAACAAACAAAACTTTTTAAACCCTTCGGGATTTCAAAAATCATGTTTTGGACAAATATTATTGAAAAGGGTGCTCCATATAACACGGATAGATGGGGACTACATTAAAATCTCCTATACAATTACCATTATAAACAAAAATCTTGAGAAACAGATTTTATAATGAAATCATAAATTGTGCGTAAATTTTTAACAATAACACTGTTTTTTAAATCATTGCCGCGTCAGTAAAGAACGACTTCTTTTGGAGGGAAAGGACCAAAAACACACAAAAAACCTTCCGATAATGATAAGACCAAAAAAAATCATAAAACTATGCAGTATTAAAAAGTTAAATAAATGAGAATGGCTGTAATATTCAACAAAAGATTATAGAACTGTATAACAGGGAACATACAGTGCTATGGAAAAAAATCCAGAAGAGAAAGAAGAGGGGGGTAAAATATAAATTACATTTTGGAAACCGGGACAAAACAAAGTAAAACTTTGACGAAACATTTACTTTTCAAAAATTCAGAAAATTTTAAGTAATGTTCCTAAAGCCAAAAGTGTGAGGGTTGGAATGATGTTTGGATAGGAACGAAGTATCCAGGAACGGTTAAAGATGTATAAATATCTAAATAAAAATAAATATTAAATCTCAAAAAATAAATATGTATTATGATTAAAAACAATTATACCAACAATGTTATAAAAACAAAAGCTTGATTTAAAAAAAATTTCTTAATTAAAAAATAATTAAAAACACAATAACTTACTAAAAATGTGCCAGTAAAAAAAAACAATCTATAACAAAATGTATGTATATGATCATTAACTAATCACAAATGTCTAACATAGAAAACAAAAGATCAAAGAAAAATAAATGGAAAAAAAAATTTTATCAAAGTTTTTAATAAAAAAGTTCGACGACCAGGGAGAAAAAGTTTTTGTTTTGTATTAATAAGTTTGCATGCAATCAATAAAATGTCTATTCATGTTTAAGAAGTTTAAAAAAATCGAATACAGTGACATTCATAAAATAAAACTGAAAATTGTTACTTTGATCATTAAAATTCTAAATATTTAAGTTCATGCTTAGAGTAAAGGAGAGAAAATTGTCTTTCATACTAAATCAAGGTACTAATGCAAGGAAAGTTAATTGCGGTCGCGTATACTTTGCGTACATATTGAAACCAGTTCTCTCTGGGCGAAATTTGTAAACAAGAATAGATGCATCAGTGTTCGTTTAGTATCCGAGGAGGTTAAACGCATTTAATTTTGATAATTTTGATAATTTACATAAAAGTTTCTTATGACAAAATATTTCATTGATTATTTTTGTGAAAATGGGTCAGGCTGTGACATCCATCTTGTGTTTACTTTTCCACCCAAAGACAGTACACTGCAGTACAAAAATTGCGTACACCTCTGAAATAACTTTCCTTGCATTAGTACCTTGACTAAACTAGGCTAGTGGGGTAGGTCATATAGGCCTATGATAGGCCGCGCGTTACTAAGACCGGTACAAGAGGGGTTAGGCTGGTTCGAATTCAAATTAACCTTAGTCCACTGTGCTTTGTTTATTAATCTTTGAATTAGAAAGAAGCAAGAAGATCTTGTTTTTTAGAGATAATTTCGATGAGCTAAATAAATAATAAATACATAGTTTAGTTAAGATTTGATGATCTATTTAATCCTGAAATTCAACAAACTAAATTTCTGACTTCAGTGCACAGTGCACAAAGTCAAATATTAGAAAATCCTAGGCGACAAAAATGTTTTACTGGTCAATTATTTCTGTACTTTAAAGTTATAGATGGAACTTTTACCTGAGCAGTACAGCAATGGTTAGGCACAATTTCTCATGAAGAATAATCCCAGGCAGAAGAAGATGTACAGCTGTACACTCTAGATCCATACTGTTCACAACCTAGGTACATATATTTAGATGTACAGCTGTATACTCTAGATCCCTACTGTACACAACCTAGGTACATATATTTAGATGTACAGCTGTACACTCAAGATCCATACTGTACACAACCTAATGACAAAGTTTTCAACAACTGTTAGTTTCTTCACAACAATTTTTTTGGTAAATATACCTAGGGACATATTGATATTATATAATATAACTAATGACAGTCCCCCTCCCCATACTACCCCGCTGTGACATCCACCTCCATATTACCCCACTGTGCCCCTTCCCTCCCAATTGCCATGCATGGTTAATATTTCAAAACCATTCTTATGCCTGGCACAAATACAGTCATTAATTAGTTACGGGAAGCCCAGAGGTACTTCAAGGAATTGTTTTTGTATTTTAAATATAGAAAGTCTAAAACTCCTATATAGAATATATGGTCTAACCTTACTAATAGGAAGGATTGACTAACCTTAATAATAGGAAGGATTGACTAACTTTACTAATAGAAAGGATTGGCTTACCTTACTAATAGGAAGGATTGGCTTACCTTAGTAATAGGAAGGATTGACTAACTTTATTAATAGAAAGGATTGGCTTACCTTACTAATAGGAAGGATTGACTAACTTTACTAATAGAAAGGCTTGGCTTACCTTACTAATAGGAAGGATTGGCTTACCTTACTAATAGGAAGAATTGACTAGCTTGCTAATAGGAAGAATTGACTAGCTTACTAATAGTAAGAATTGGCTTACCTTACTAATAGTAAGGATTGGCTTACCTTACTAATAGTAAGAATTGGCTTACCTTACTAATAGTAAGGATTGGCTTACCTTACTAATAGTAAGAATTGGCTTACCTTACTAATAGTAAGGATTGGCTTACCTTACTAATAGGAAGTATTGGCTTACCTTAGTAATAGGAAGGATTGACTAACTTTATTAATAGGAAGGATTGGCTAACCTTACTACTAGGAAGTATTGGCTTACCTTACTAAAAGGAAGGATTGGCTTACCTTACTAATAGTAAGGATTGGCTTACCTTACTAATAGGAAGGATTGGCTTACCTTACTAATAGGAAGGATTGGCTTATCTTATTTATAGTAAGGATTGGCTTACCTTACTAATAGTAAGGATTGGCTTACCTTACTAATAGGAAGAATTGACTAGCTTGCTAAGGAAGAATTGACTAGCTTACTAATAGTAAGAATTGGCTTACCTTACTAATAGTAAGGATTGGCTTACCTTACTAATAGTAAGGATTGGCTTACCGTACTAATAGGAAGGATTGGCTTACCGTACTAATAGGAAGGATTGGCTAACCTTACTAATAGGAAGAATTGACTAACCTTACTAATAGAAAGAATTGGCTAACCTTACTAATAGGAAGAATTGACTAACCTTACTGATGGAAAGAATTGGCTAATCTTACTAATAGGAAGGATTAACCACCTTACTAATACATAATAGGAAGGATCGACTAACCTTCTAATAGGAAGGATTGACTAACCTACTTATAGAATGGATTTACTAACCTTACTAATAGGAAGAATGAGAGCAAAGAGCGTGATGAACCTACTCCAAGATATAATTAAATTGATTCCAGTCCATCGCTTTCTTCTTCTAAAATAGAGTTAGTTGAATCTCTTAAACATTATTCATATGTATCTAGTATCTACTAAAATATCACAAAGAAAAAAAAAGTTGAATTCTACCATTAAAAAAACATAGAGAAGGCAGAGACAATTTTTTAGTAACATTTTCATCATTAAACATTTCTAAAAGGGGCTTTCGACTTAATTTACAAGTTTCAGTGTTTCAAAGTTTTAACTGTAAATACGATGTATTAATGTCGTCTTTAAGAAAAAGTATAATGTGATAGGAGACACCCTGTATGTTACCCTATGTCGTCATTAAAGAAAATTTTAGACAGAGGGTTGAATGGTACTCTGTGAATTAGGCATGTAATTCTTTAAACCATTGGTCAATTAAAGCTACGCGATGAGTCCCTTTAGTTAAAATAATATGATTAAATATAAACCTGAGAATGAATTGAATAAGAAAGATTGCCGGAGGTATTGAGAGGATGACAAGTGTGATGAGGATCGCCAGGTTGGACTCATACTCCTCCTCCCTCCTCACCACCGTCCTCGTCACGTTCCTCAAGAGCAGGTGCAGCTCCTCCTCCGGAGTTCCGGAGATGTTTCTCAAACTCTCTTCCTCGGAGAAACCGTTAAAAAGTCCGAACCCGTGTCTTCCAGAGTACCCGGAGCCAGATTCAGTTTCAAGAAAATCATCAAATATACCTCCAGAACCTGGATCAAAATCCAGAAGATATGTTGAACCGATCTCACCACTGGTTAGATCAGCTTCGACTGCATCCCTGATCTTTTCCCCTTCAACACCTATGTTAAGAGTTACATTTTGAAATTCTTGGAAATTATCCGAAAAAGTTACATTTTTTGATTCTGAACTGAAGATGTAGTCACGGAAACTTGTTGCATTACTATTTTCTTTGTTAAAGAATGTATATTCATTCTCTTCTTTCAAATCTTGATTTTCTACATAATGTTCCATTAGTTCTTGATTTTTGATAAATTCTTGATCTCCATTAAGTTCTTGATCTCCACTAAGTTCTTGATATCCATTAAGTTCTTGATATCCATTAAGTTCTTGATATCCACTAAGTTCTTGATCTTCATTAAATTCTCGATCTCCACTAAGTTTGTGATCTCCACTATGTTCTCGATCTCCACTAAGTTCTTGATCTCCACTAAGTTCTTGATCTCCACTAAATTCTTGATCTCCACTAAATTCTTTATCTCCACAAAGTTCTCGATCTCCACTAAGTTCTTGTTCTCCACTAAGTTCTTGATCTTCACTAAGTTCTTGATCTCCACTTAGTTCTTGATCTCCTCTAAGTTCTTGATCTCCACCAAATTCTTGATCTCTACTAAGTTCTTGATCTCCACTAAGTTCTTGATCTTCACTAAATTCTTGATCTCCACTAAGTTCTTGATCTCCAATAAATTCTTGGTAATCGCTAATATATTCTTGATCTCCACTTAACTCTTGATCTCCACTTAATTCTGTTTCTACACTCAATTCTTGATCTTCGCTTAAGTCTTGATCTTCGCTTAACTCTTGATCTCTGCTTACGTCTTTATCTCCGCTTAACTCTTGATCTCCGCTTAACTCTTGATCTCTGCTTAGATCTTGATCTCCGCTGAGACGAAGATCAATAGTAGTAGTATTTGATTCCTGATCAGTGTAGTTCAACAGAACAACTTTTCTTCCTGTCTTGCTCAACCCGTTCATTCTAATTTATATTTCATTTCGTTTGTTAAAGATTATTTTTTGACATTCTTTGAATTAATCTATATATAAATTTGGCTTGTCTGTCTGTCTGTTTGTCTGTTTGTTTGTTTGTATCCAATAAACGTCAAAACGGCTGAACCGATCGGGCCCAAATTTTTTGTGGGACATCTAGGGAGCCCAGGGAAGGTTTATGAATGATTGAAATTTTAAATATTTGTCTCCATCAAAATTCGATCGTCATTAAATTTTTGAAAATTTTGAAAATCCACGAAATTTTTTGTGAAATTCCGCGAATTATTTTTGTTTTGTTTTACGATGTACAGAAAGAGAACATGTTCACAATTAATTTAGAAGATGGGCGCGAAGCGCCCTCTAAGGCTAGTAAGATAAAAAGGTTTTAGTATTTTTCTTTGATTGACATTTTATCCCTGTACCATGAATTGAGAACAAACTACAGGGTGTCCCACGAAATATGACAGTTGGTGAATAGTTTAGAATGTCTTCTTCCATTATTCGTTAGGTTGTTTGATACCAAAGAAAATTATAGAATAATTTTTTGGGAATCTTGTTAAAGTAAAATTGATTTCAAAGTAAAATATATTTAAGCAAAATATTTTTTAACCAAATAAACTGCAATAAGCCTTTAATATCTAATACAGTGCATGGAGTATATGGATTCATAGCTATTTATCAACTGTCATGTTTTGTGGGACACCCTTTACGTAAAAAAAATGTTTTAAAAAATTTAACAAAAATTTTCTTTTTCTTTCTAGGAAAGATCTATTAGAAATGTCGGATCTGACATGTTTGCAAGATATTGAAGATTTTATTTTATTCTACAAAATCCTTCTTCAAAACATGTCTTCAACGCTCGATTCATAACAGTACCTTCTTAACCTTTATCTGCTTAATAACGTGGAAAAGGAGTCGTTTTTTGTTTGTTTAAAACATAATTGACAAAACATATAAAAACAATTTGAATATAAAACTCAAGGAAATATTTTGACGACATTGATGACAATCTAATCTTTTACAGCTAGGTCGGAAAACTTAATTATTCCCTTTATCCTAAAATAAATGAAAATTTCCCTAAATTAATCTTTTTAAATAAGTATTTTTGAACTGTATATTTATTCTCCTGGTTTTATTTTAGTATTGTGACGACATTTTACATTTTTGATGACTTTCTTTCTGAATTTTTTGGATTGTTTTTAAGTTTGTTTATTTAATATTTAGATGGGACAGTTCGTGGACTGGAGGTTGCGAATCAACTAGTTAGTTCTCCGTCCTACTCCGGGTGTACACTACACCTTGTATTCCCCCTGGTATATTCTATACCTGGAGTTGGGTTCAGGTAAATCCGGTTCAACCTAGATATTGGCAAATAAACATATTTAAATAATTTATATATGAAAGTAAAAGTAATTGGGAGCTATTGTAAAGTCTAAAGAAAGCCAAGTTTTTCACAAGTTTTGATTGTGTTTTGGCTTTTGAGACAGAAGTAGAGAACGTTTGTCTACTTGTTTTGTTCGAAGTAACGTGAAAATTAAATTAAAATAACTTTTTAAAATTATTTTGTATTTTTATTACATAAACAATTTCATTATTAACCCTAATGTTTCGATAGTTTATGTTTAATGATGTATCTACGATGTACAAAAATAAATTTATTTTTACCATCAAAAATTTACAATTATAACATAATTAATAGTTTTACGATATATGGTACACGTTTTTAAAGCTTTGCGAGGCATATGACATAATGAACACTTTTAATCATAATTAATAGTATGTGATTTTTATAAAAGAAATTTCCAATTAAGAAAAAAACATTATCATATTATTATCATATTATTATCATAAAATGTCTTAAAAGACAGAATTAAAAAGATAAAAAATGTTTTACGTAAAATCACTGAAAAAAATAAAACTTTTTTACAATTGAGTAACTTTTTCCATAAAGTTGTTTGTAATTAAAGCTAAAACTAGTCAAAATAAAAAAATTACTATTATAAAGTTCACTAAGCTCAACTTTACTCAGGAGTCAGGACCAGAAGAGATTCTTTTACTTTGACAATAAGCTGATCAATCTTAATTATAATCAATTCGTTCGAAACTAATCAATTTAAATTAAATATGTTCAAAAATTAATGATTGATTACATCATCACCAAGAGAGTAATATAAAATAAATCAATTAGTTAAATCGATTCAATTAAAATTGAATTAGTTCAAAAATCGATTAGAATTTATGATTGATCAAAAACTCAGATGGAGAATAATAATTGATAGGTTCAATAATCGAATTGTTCCATCCAAATTCTACAATTGACTAATCAACTAACTAATCAATTAATCATCTTGTTGCACGCATAAACTTGAGCGCCATCGATCCATCCACGCCGTGGATAATCCCAACAATATACCCCAAAACCTGAAATTAGACAAAAACATGTTTAAATGATTTTTTTTATTTTAAAAAGTTTCATAATCGATTTCCGCACTCGGTCTTTATAAATTGAGTCCAAGAAGCGGTAGCAACGTTGATTTTAATGACACAAGGGAGGTAGAACAAAAATTCTCCCGTTTTGGATTAAAAATAATTCTAAAACTTTGAATATCAGATAAATTTAAAAACCAGATAGACTTTATTTCGAAGAACCCACTTTTTGTAGAGTGGCGGGTCCGATTTACAAGAGTACCTTTAGACCTTTGATTAAACAAGGATGACGGACTAATTATTAATTCTCTACAAAAATTCTTAATTGTAAAAGTTATAATAAATTTTTTGCAAGCTTTTTGATATTAAAGAAATATTAATATTTATTTTACAACATTACAGTCTCTTTTATTTATTTTTATTTTATTAACTATACTTACATAAACTGCTGTCATGGCGGGATAAGCTGAAAATCCGGGAATAGTTTTGTAAAAGTAGAAAAGGTTATTGTGAACAGATGTAGCAAGGTATGTACTGGCTCCTATGTACAGTCCACAGGAAACATACGAAAATGCTACCTAAACAAAGATTTATTGTTAAGGAGTTGAGTCTTTGTCACAAATCAATTTTTTTAATTTCTTTATCTTTGAAACCTGATGATGTAAACCTTTGATATTTCAAACTTAGATTATTTGATCTAACAGCATTCATAGTTTGAAATATCTAAGGTCTACTGTATTGTGTTGCAAAAATATTGAGATTAGAGAACAAGATTTTGTGGCAAAACTCAATTCCTTTGTTACAAATTATTAATTGAATGGGCGCTAGTTTAGAACTAAACATTGTTTTGCTTTACTGTACATAAAATTGATAAAATTGATAGCAGAATTGAGTCTTTGCCACATACTTAAATTTCATTATCCCTATATCTGTGCAACCTGATGGTGTAAACCTTAGATATTTCAAACTTAGATTATCAATGCTCTAACAGAATTAATAGTTTGAATAAATAAGGTTAATGTCAATGGGTTGCAAAAATATAGGTATAAAAAAATAAGAGTTTGTGGCAACAATTTAAATCTTGATTTTTGTATTTGGTTACCTCAAACAAAGATGGCCGAACCCTGAGATATGTAGTTTCTGACGTGGCATAGCAGAATATAAGAACACACGTGGTCAACAAACTGGCAGAGGTTGTTGTCAAGAATATAGAATAACTGGGACCAAGATCTGGTCCATACCTTAACATTAAACAGGTTTTATTCATTATACAGGGTTACCAACAAAGGATGAGACTTCAGAGACGAAATGTATACTTTATGTTTCCTTATATTCACGATTCCCTGCAACTGCAAACTTGTTTCTTTCTTTGCCAAATAATTCAATAAACCATTATAAACTATATCTAAGGAAGAATACATAATTCAACTTTGGGATCGTCACATTTTAAACGTTTCTGGTCGTCTTTACAGTCTCATCCATTCTGTGTAAACATAAAAGTTTTATCGAAATGTATATTTTTGTCTATCAGTTTAAAAAAATTAAAGAACCAACGTTTTTTCTTTATCTATGAATTCAATAGATGCATTATCATTATTTTTTTTCTGTGAACGTATGTGTTCGATTTACAAGGGTACCTTTAAAAGCTTTATCTGATCAAGTATATGAATTATGAATCCATTTTTTGTTTCGGAAAAAAAATTATTTTCATTTGTACTGTCCCTGAAAATGTGACTTGCACATTTCCAGCTCTAGAAACAATGGAGCAATTGTCAGAATTAAACAACGACGTTATCTTCCACATTACTGATCAGTCCCTTTAAAAATCACTTACTTCATCCCGTATTGGAACATTAGAAACTGACAAACCAGACCAAACAGAAATTCAAGAAGCTTAACAGCTCCTGTTGGAGTCTTCAGAAACCCAGAGTGTAAACAGGTACAAACCCTAAAAATTAATAATAATAATAATAATAATACCTGCAAAATCCACAAATACTGAAGCCTGCCTCTGCTCTGCCTGCTGAGGATAAATACCCATTTCCACCGTTAGATGGAGTTATATACACTTGCCTGAAATATGACAAAAAAATAGTGCTTTAAATAGTGTGGATAATATTGTATAATATATTTTCTGATAATAGATATTTAAGAATATATATTCCATTCATGCGTTTGTCTCTAGGGCACGCAAAGGAGTTTAATCTTTGCTACAAACTCAAAGTTTTTAATCCTAATATCATTGAAACCGGACGGTGTAAACCTTTAATATGACTAACATATTCTATCAGAATTCATAGTTTGAAATGTTTACGACATTGGATTGCGAAGATATCGAGATTAGAAAATAACAGTTTGTGACAAAGACTCAATTCCTTTGTCTGTTTTAATTAATGAACTTTACTTCTAAAGATATGATTTTTTCATGATTTTAATTATATTCTGATTTGATAAAAACATAAAAACATGTACTTAATATTGATATCAGATGATACTAAAACATGTGCTATATTAATATACAGCTTGGAAACCCGGCTTTGGTTGAAAACTTTACTGTTTCTATTAAGATCAGCCCACTCCACCAAATAAAAAAATTCTGTAATTTCTTCATCAAAATTTGGGAACAACTGGTCAGTTCGTGCATGAGTTATGATCGGGCATACAAACAGAGATCACTACTCTAAATAGATACTGCATTCAGGCAAAACATTCCCTTAGATCTACTTAGTTGAGGCACATCGGTTGTAAATGAGTTGTAATCGGACGTAAATTTAGATGTTCGTTAGTCCACGGACTTTTACACCAATGACAAGCATAAATTATGTGAAAACATTTTTATTCAAATTAAACATTATTTGTAATTCTGTTGCTAATTTGTTTGTCCAAAATATATTATTATTATTATATAAAGGGTTAGAGATAAATTTCCAAACACAATGACTATCTTAAATAACTTTTTTTTGTGAAAAGAGTTCAATGTATAGATTTAATATTGGAAAAAAATATATCCGTTTTTGGATCAAATTTGATCAAATGTGAATTGGATAATTCAAAAAGTCAAAAAATTTGGGATTTGTTTAAATATTTTCTACCTCGTAGTGGTTGGTCTGCTGGTTTTTGATCCTCCGAAAACCATTTTAATCTAAAATTACATCTATAATTATTATATGATTATTTTTAATTATTTTTTCTAAAATCAAGAAAAACATGTATAATCAAACTGCATTTTGTCATTTCAATCTAGAAAAAATGAAAAATGTTAATTTGAAATTAGAAATAAAAACAGGAAACGCCTCAAAATAATTCATTTTGGGGGGGTTTCCGTTTTTTTGGGTCCGATTCCGTGTTGAGGCGTTTCCATAGCAAATATGTTTGAAAACCTCAAACTTAACAAAAATATTAGCTTTCTTTTTCCATAGCACCCAAATGAAACATGTTAGCCTAAAGTTTTGAAAACCTCAAACTCAACACAAATATTATAATATTAGCTTTCCTATCCCATTTTGTCTCACTTCAAACTAGACAGAAAGAGAAGCTGACAAGTATGAGAAAAACAAATTTATCATTTTACATAAAGAAATTCAAAAAACAACTTTAATTTTTTTAACAGCTTTTAAATAAAAGGAAAATTAAAATTTTAATCTTTTTTAGATATTATTTACTTTAGTTTGAAGGGAAAAAAATACATAGATTAACTTTCGTACTTCGCATGATGCTTGTCCTGTCCTGTCCTGTTTGTAACTGGTTAAATAATTTAAAAACATGGTTATCACCACTCCTCCATATATTGCGTCATCCTATGGTGAAATCTGACTCAGACATGACGCGTTTTGCGTAACTTGAAACTTGTATGTTTAGTTTAGATATCGATCTAAAAATATTAATGTTTTACACAGCTGTTTTCACAGGCGCAATTACATATTTTGTAAATGAGTGGGGGGTTACAGGGTTACCCACAAAGGATGAGACTGTAAAGACGACCTAAAACTCTTTAAAAACGTCAATTTTAAATGAAAGATAAGTTTTATGCCTTTAATTTAGTCTTTCTCTGACATGTAATGATTTGAGGGGAACCATGTTAAGAAAACAGACGATATAAATACCATACATTCGTCTCTGAAGTCTCATCCTCTGTGGGTATTTGATGCACCAAGATACCCCTCACATCCTCTTACTATAGTTACGGCTGATGGTTGCAAAAACACTGGTATTTGTTTACATTGATTTTAATGATTTAATGTAGGTATGTAGAGAAGATGGGGAGGGGGGGGGGAGGGTCAATGCACCAATTAATGCATGAATGTTGAAGTCTAGACAGATAAGAAAAGGAACAAGGAAATAAGACTGGAATATTCTCAAAATATTCAGATTTCAAGAAATTAAACATTCTCCTATTTTATATTTGATCTAAACTTTAACACAAGAAAATCTGGTGTATTATATTATATAATTGTATATCTACACAGTTTTTTGTATTATGAAAAATGATAAACAAATTTTTGTCAAAAATATGGCTAAAAGTCACTTAAATAAATCTTTTAAAAAGACGAAAACATAAATCTTTGATTATTTAAATTATTAGTAATTTACCCAACCCCTGAAAAAAATTTGTACAGTTTTAAGAAAGGGAATATAAAATTGAAAAAGAACTTTGGGTTGAGACGAATCAGAGGAATTATTGTAAAATTTTTTTTTTATTTTCAGCGCAAAGAAGTTTAAAGGGTCATGTACTAAAACTTTGATTTGTTTGTAGTCTTGTAGAATGTAATATACATATATATATATATATATATATATATATTGNGCCCCCCCGCCCCCCCCCTGTATCCGCCACTGTGTATTTGGTTAAGAGATTAGAGGATTTAGATTGGGAGGCTATTGAAAATAAAAAACGAAATGAAAGGATCCGGGTGAAAACTGCAATTTGATGTTTTTCAGTTTTTCATACAAAAAAACATCAATTAAGTAAAACGCATGTTTCTAGCAAGACGACATTAAACTTTCTTCATTCCTCTGTCACTGTTGGATGGCGTTGAACTTTTTAATTTTAAAACATTTTTAAAAAGTGCTACCATTTAATCAGTATAATGCTTGAATATTTGAAATCTTTAACTTTTTTTAAAAGGCTACCACGGATTCACATCGGTACCCTTTAGTACATGGGTTACCCACAAAGAATGAGACTTATTATCCAGCCTTTCTTTATAACTTTTCTCTTTTATTTAATCATAAACTTGTTTATATGTTTGCCAAATCATCTGTCATGTTTTATTAAAAGACTTATTCATCTTAGACAGAACAAAAACCTTCAGAACTTTGAATTTATAACGTTTTAGGTTGTCATTGAAGTCTCTTTGGCGGGTAACGCCTTGAGATTGGCGTGTAATGTTTACTTTGTTCTGATGAGATTGGCGTGCCTATGCTCACTTTGTTCTGATGAGATTGGCGTGTAAAATTCACTTTGTTCTGATGAGATTGGCGTGTAAAGTTCAGTTTGTTCTGATGAGATTGGCGTGCATATGTTCACTTATTTACACTTGAAGTGTTGTGTTTGAAGTAAAAGATTAAACTATTGAATGAATATCAAATATATCTAGGCAGGGGNTATAATCAAACTTATAAAAGTCAACTTTCAGAATAAACTTTTAATGCTCTAAGCTTTTCATGATCTAAACTTTTCATGATCTAAACTTTAAAAAAAATGAAACTCATAAAAGACACCTTCCAGAATCAAACTTCTTAAGGACACCTTCCAGAATCAAACTTCTTAAGGACACCTTCCAGAATCAAACTTCTTAAGGATACCTTCCAGAATCAAACTTCTAAAGGACTTCTTCCAGAATCAAACTTCTATAGGACTTCTTCCAGAATCTAAATTCTAAAGGACAGCTTTTATAATCAAACTTATAAAAGTCAACTTTCAGAATAAAACTTTTAAGGGACTAATTTCAGAATCTAACTTCTAAATGATATACTTTCAGAATAAAACTTCTAAAGGACAACTTTCAGAATAAAACTTCTAAAGGACAACTTTCAGAATAAAACTTCTAAAGGACAACTTTCAGAATAAAACTTGTAAATGACATACTTTCAGAATAAAACTTGTAAAGGATATGCTTTCAGAATAAAACTTCTAAATGACTACTTCCAAAATAAAACTTTTAAATGAATACTTTCAGAATAAAACTTATAAAGAACTTCGTCCAGAATAAAACTTTTCAAGGACATGACTACTTTTAGATTCAAACTTCTAACAGAAGAAGACTTCTAAAGGACTACTTCCAGAATAAAACTTCTAAAAAACTACTTCTGAATAAAACGTCTAAAAGACTACTTTCAGAATAAAACTTCTAAATGACTACTTTCAGAATAAAACTTCTAAAGCTAGGACTATATACTTCCATAAAAAACTTCTAAAGGACTAGTTTCAAAATAAAACTTCTTTCAAACTTCCAAAAAAAAACTTTGAAATTACCTTAGAATAAAACTTCTAAAGTGCTTTTTTTGGAAACAAAATTCTAAAGTAATACTTCCAAAATTTAAAGAATTTAGATTGAGTTTTATTGTTGTCCGAGGTTAAAATTGAAAGATAAGAATTGTGTATCTGTACAATATAAAAAGATGATTCTAAAAAGTATTTAAACGAGATTGCTAATTTAATTGTAAATGATCCTTGTTTTAAAAATATTGTATTTGATTTACAACCTCCCCTCCCCAAGCCTTTTTAAAGAGTTTTTTTTTCGCCAACATTATCATTTTTTCCCCAAATTTCACGCTTTTTCCCTTTTATTTATTTGAATGTTTTCTAAACATTGAAGAAAATAAAAAGATAAAACTAACAATGCTTAATCTCTTAAATCAAATCAAATAGATAAGCCAGTCTGTGATTATATTAGCATAATTAAATATTTCTGTGAGAAAAAATCTCTTAATAACATAACTTTCTTACGAAACCTGAAAATTGGAAAATTTAAATTGTAAAAGTTTTTCTTCATCGTCACAATTGAAAAATTGATCAAATGTAATTTTACAGAGAAGAAAAAACACTTCTTTTTATTTGAAAAAAGTTTATACTCTTTTTTGGACATTGTTATTTTTTGTCTTAATTTAATACTTCCCGCATTTTTTTGTTTTGTCGTCTTCGCATTGAGTTGAAAATATTGTTTCTAAGGCAGAAAAGCATGTTAACTTGGAGCGGAGTGAAATCAGTATGCTTGAAGTTGAAGAAGAATATAACAATAGAACCATTTCTTCTGATTTACTATTTCTCATTAACCCTAGCTTCAACTACATCTGCAATTCTATACCCTGTCAAAGGAATACGACGCCATTTTCTTTATATACTATAAACATACGCCATTTTCTATATATACTATAAACATACGCCATTTTCTATATATACAATAAACATACGCCATTTTCTATATATGCTGTAAACATACGCTATTTTCTATTTATACTATAAACATACGCCATTTTCTATATATACTATAAACATACGCTATTTTCTATATTACATACGCCATTTTCTATATATACTATAAACATACGCTATTTTCTATATTTACTATAAACATTCGCCATTTTCTATATATACTATAAACATACGCCATTTTCTATATAAACTATAGACATGCGCCATTTTCTATATTTACGATAAACATACGCCATTTTCTATATATACTATAAACATAAGCAATTTTCTATATATACTATAAACATATGCCATTTTCTATATATACTATAAACATATGCCATTTTCTATATATACTATAAACATACGCAATTTTCTATATATACTATAAAAATACACCATTTTCTATATATACTATAAACATACGCCATTTTCTATATATACTATAAACATGCGCCATTTTCTATATATACTATAAACATACGCCATTTTCTATATATCCTATAAAAATACGCCATTTTCTACATATACTGTAAACATACGCCATTTTCTATGTTTACGATAAACATACGCCATTTTCTATATACTATAAACATACGCCATTTTCTATATTTACGATACACATACGCTATTTTCTATATATACTATAAACATACGCCATTTTCTATATATACTATAAACATACGCTATTTTCTATTTGTACTATAAACATACGCCATTTTCTATATATACTATAAACATACGCCATTTTCTATATATACTATAAACATACGCCATGTTTTATATATATTATAAACATACGCCATTTTCTATATATACTATAAACATACGCCATGTTTTATATGTATTATAAACATACGCCATTTTCTATATATACTATAAACATACGCCATTTTCTATATATAATATAAACATACGCCATGTTTTATATATATTATAAACATACGCCATTTTCTATATTTACTATAAACATACGCCATTTTCTATATATACTATAAACAACCCCATTTTCTATATAAACTATAAACATACGCCATGTTTTATATATATTATAAACATACGCCATTTTCTATATATACTATAAAAATAGGCCATGTTTTATATATATTATAAACATACGCCATTTTCTATATATACTATAAACATACGCCATGTTTTATATATATTATAAACATTCGCCATTTTCAAATTATTCAAACAATTTTTCGAGAATCAAGTGATAAATGATAAAATGAAATTTAGATTCAAAGTTTGGAATGAAAAAAGATATGGTTTTAGAACAAAATAGAATTTACAGAATTTCATATCAACAAACCAACAAAATAGAATTTAAAGAATTTCATATCAACAAACCAACATAACCAA